GGAAATGACACCAGTCAATGAAGTAGCTGCCATAAGAACTTCTGAGCCTGGAAGTAAAAATCGACAGTGCATTGCTTATATAGAAGCCAAGGGAAGGCAATGTGTGAGGTGGGCAAATGATGGTGATGTTTACTGTTGTGTGCATCTGTCCTCTCGCTTCATGGGAAGCTCTACAAAAGCTGAAGGGTCTCACTCTAGTGATCAACCACTGTGTGAAGGCACAACTGTCCTTGGAACCAAATGTAAGCATCGGTCTTTACAAGGCTCTTCATTTTGTAAGAAGCACAGACCAAAGAATGATATGAAAACTATCCCAAATTTTCCAGAGAATACACTTAAGAGAAAGTTTGAGGAGAACATTTCTAATTTAGAGACCACAAAATGCAGAGAGATGGTATTGGTCAGAGATGTTGAAAGTCCTCTACAGGTGGATCCTGTCTCATATGCACCTGGTAATGCTTTCCGTGAAAGAGGGAGCTTATTTGAGAAGTCCGAGTCCCCTGCCAAAGCTTGTAATATAACAGGAGAGCAGCGCTGCATTGGCTTTTGTTTGCGTGATGACAGCAACCCTTGTCTGGAAAGTCCAAAGAGGCATTCATTATATTGCGAAAAGCACCTCCCAAGCTGGCTCAAACGTGCAAGAAATGGTAAGAGTAGGATAATATCAAAAGAAGTCTTTGTAGATCTTTTGAGGGATTGTCACTCAGAGGAGCAAAAGTTTAATTTGCATCAAGCATGTGAGCTCTTTTACAAGCTCTTTAAAAGTATCTTATCTTTAAGAAATCCTGTTCCTAAGGATGTACAGTTTCAGTGGGCCCTATCTGAAGCTTCTAAAAATCTTGGTGTTGGGGAAATATTCACAAAGTTGGTTTGCACTGAAAAGGAGAGACTCAGAAGGATTTGGGGCTTTAATGGTGATGACGGTGAACATGTTTCGTCGTCTGCCATGGAAGAACAAGCTCTGTTGCCATGGACTGTGGATGATAACCATGAAAATGAACAAGTCATTAGGTGCAAAGTTTGCTCGCAGGAGTTTTCAAACGACCAAGAACTTGGAACTCACTGGATGGAAAATCATAAAAAGGAAGCACAATGGCTGTTTAGAGGCTATGCATGTGCCATCTGCCTGGATTCTTTCACTAATAAGAAAGTCTTGGAAACTCATGTTCAGGAGAGACACTGTGTGCAATTTGTTGAACAATGCATGCTTTTCCAGTGTATTCCTTGTGGAAGCCACTTTGGTAATACAGATGAGTTATGGTTGCATGTGCTTGCGGTTCATCCTGATAATTTCAGGCTCTCAAAAGCTCCTCAGCCTGTCCAGTCTATTGGTGATGATTCTCCAAGGAAGTTTGAGTTATACAATTCAGCTTCTGTGGAGAATAACAATGAGAACGTAAGTGGTCAACGAAAGTTCGTTTGCAGGTTTTGTGGGTTGAAGTTTGATTTGCTTCCCGATCTTGGTCGTCACCATCAAGCTGCTCACATGGGGCCAAGTTTAGCCAGTTCTCGGCCTTCAAAGAAGGGGATACGTTATTATGCTTATAAATTAAAATCTGGGAGACTTAGTCGTCCTAGATTGAGAAAAAGTTTGGCGGCAGCATCATATAGGATCAGGAATAGGGCAAATGTTACAATGAAGAAACGTATTCAAGCATCAAAGTCACTTGGCACAGGAGGAATAAATGTACAGCATCTTGCAACTGAGGCAGCAAGTCTTTCTAGATTAGGGGACTCACATTGTTCAGCAGTAGCAAGGATTCTTTTTTCTGAGATGCAGAAAACAAAACGTAGGCCAAGTAACCTAGACATTTTATCTGTTGCTCGCTCTGCTTGCTGCAGGGTCAGTCTCAAAGCCATGCTGGAGGGACATTATGGGGTCTTGCCAGAAAGTTTGTATCTGAGGGCAGCCAAGCTCTGCAGCGAGCATAATATTCGGGTAGATTGGCATCAAGATGGATTTATTTGCCCTAAAGGATGCAAGGAATTCAGGGAATGCTTTGTGTCTCCAGTGATGCCTCTTCCAATTGGTGCTATGGAGCATAGATCTCCACCTTCATCAGATCCTTGTGATGATAAATGGAATGTGGATGAGAGCCACTATCTTATTGATGCACATCACTTGAGCCAAAGATCCTTCCAGAAGGCTCTAGTCTTGTGTGATGATATAAGTTTTGGACAGGAATTGGTTCCAGTGGTTTGCGTTGCAGATGAAGACCAATTGGATTCTTATCCTGCCCTTGCAGGTGGTTCTAATGCTGGTATTTCGTTGCCGTGGGAGAGCTTTACCTATATTATGAAGCCCTTGCTTCATCAATCCCCTGGACTCGATATTGAGGTATATATATTGTGTGTGAATGTATGTATATATAAGTATGTATGTGTGTGTGTGTGTGTGTGTGTGTGTGTGTGCGCGCGCGTGTATTACTTTTCAATCTTTGTTCTTAATTTCTTTCAGTCACTGATTTTATATCAGTAATGCATGTGTGCCGCATGTTTAATATGAATCACTCTCAACTGGACCACCATAAGTTGTAGTAAATGTGCAAGTAGATTTTGAAGATTTTTGACCAAAACTTTGGATACAACGAGCAGGTAAAACGATGTTTGGCGAACAATATGACAACATTTTCATTGAAGCTATCTGACTGAGAACGATTTTCTTTAAGAAGACTAGATCTTGCATTGTTACCATGTCAAGAAAATAGGGAGAATGAGATATATTAATCATGACCCTCATTACAGAAAACTAAAAAATAACCAAATAACTTAATTTAGAATACTAGATTACATCCCTAAACAAACCTGGGGCCAAATGTTCGAGCCCACTAGGATCCTAATTACAATATACTTTTGTTCTCTAATAGTATGCATTTACTATGACTTCAAGATGAACAGAGATTCAACACATTATTGTTTTTGTAGTTTTGTTTTCCAAATTTTGTTGAGATTTCACATGTTTTTTTCGTCATTTTCATTGCAGAGTTTGCAATTGGGGTGTTCATGCACGGGTTCTACATGCCGTCCTGAAACATGTGATCATGTTTACCTTTTTGATATTGACTATGATGATGCAAAAGACATCTACGGGAAATCCATGCGTTGCAGATTCCCATATGATGAGAGAGGTCGAATTATATTGGAGGTATGCCAATCAAAATCTACCACCAATCACCAGTCTCATCTCTCTAATTGCAGTACATGTTTTTTAAGTGTTGCCCTTGATCACATATGATGGTGGTATGTTCTCCATTGTTGGAAGTCTTTTAAGTTCTTTTTCGTTTTGCTTGATAACCATTTATACCCTGGAAAGCAGTAAATTTGCTGTGTTGTTGGTCGTGTTGCAGACAAGCACATAAAAAACATGATTTTTCTATATTGAAGATTGTATTTTTCTGCCTTAACCATTTGCTAGAGAGAAAAATTGCCTGAGATAGTTCCCACTTGGATCATTGTATTGTCTCTCTCTCAATCTATGTACATGTATACATCAGATATATTCTGGATTTGAACGTGGCACAGGTTCTTGGGAGGGTAGTGCCATTGACCTGTCCCCACAGAATCTTTATTTAAAAAAGCACGAGGAGATTCATACGATGCTTGATTTTCACATAAGTTTTGTTCTCCAGTTTTTTATTGGTGGGAACATGAAGTTGATTTATTGCTCTTTTGAAATCGTGCAGGAAGGGTACCTCGTTTACGAATGCAATCAGATGTGCAGCTGCACTAGATCTTGTCCTAATAGGGTTTTGCAGAATGGAGTAAGAGTGAAATTGGAAGTCTTCAAAACAGAGAAAAAGGTAGCCTTTCTTTCCTTCTTTTTTGCCCCCCTAGAGATATAAGAACAGATGAAGAGTTAAATTTCAGTTTTTGGTATTTTTCAAAAGTTGGATTGACTTCGGACCCAATTGCAGGGATGGGGAGTCAGGGCAGGTGAAGTGATCCTCCGCGGCACATTTGTTTGTGAGTACATAGGCGAGGTTTTAGATGAGCATGAAGCAAATGAGAGGCGCAACAGGTCTCAGTTTTGTTCTGATAGATACAGCTATTGTTTTTACTCTACTTCTAATTTTTGTGCCATATTTGAATGGTACCTTATGAATGATCAGGTATGGAAAAGACAGTTACTTATATGAAATTGATGCTCATGTTAACGATATGAGTAGATTGGTCGAAGGACAGGCCCATCATGTAATTGACTCAACTAACTATGGAAATGTTTCAAGATTCATCAATCATAGGTAATGAAAGACGTTGCTGAATTATATTTTGTGTATATAATTTTTTTTTTTTTAAACTTCTTAGGCAAGTCAAGTGCCTTGTGATATACTTGACATATGCTATTCTTTTGTAGCTGCTTGCCTAATCTTGTGAATCACCAAGTTCTTGTGGAAAGCATGGATAGTCTGTGTGCACATGTTGGTCTCTATGCAAATCGCGATGTAAGCAGTCTCATTTCTTCTTGTAGAATGATTTTATTTGTGCATGATACATTAGTAATTATCTTGGAAAATTAAGATTCCCAACGTACCCTGTTGTGATGGTTACATCGTTGGTTGCTAAGTTATTCCTTACCATCGGCCAATTGACGATGGCATTTGATGTACAATTGATGACGGCTCATGACAACTGATATGCATTACAGTGCTTAAAGTGACTAACGTTATTCTTGATAACTCTACTGTATGTGAGCAGATAGCTTTGGGGGAAGAAATAACGTATGACTATCGGTATAAACGTCTTCCTGGAGAAGGACATCCATGCCATTGTGGAGCTTCCCCGTGTCGGGGGCGACTCTATTAAACCTTGAATGAACACTGTGCCCCTGCAATCTCAGCATACAATTGCCCGCGCTTCAGGCAGATTATGAAAAGCAAATTATCTCCGCATCACCCCGTGGTGAGTTCTCAACTCATTGCCGTTTATGATCCATCCGTTGATAATAAAACGGATCTCGGATCCAGCTGAAAATAAAATTGACTGAGTCGTAGCAGTGACACAAGGGTTTATTCAGCTTTCAATCCGCTCCAATACCGTGTGTGATCTTTACCGCAGGTAGATTGTACCGATATTTTTTCTTTAGTAGTTCGTTAAAGAATTGAGGATGACAAAACTTCACCGTTTTCCTTTGTTTCAGTTTTTTTTTTTGTTTACTTTCGTTGATCCTGTAGCCGTTTTGGATTAGCTAACTGTAGATGTTTTTTTTCCTTTTTTTATTTTTATTTTTATTTTCTGGTAGAAGTTCTTAGGTTTTGTAGTGATGGAATGCTTAAATGGCCAATTCATATATATTTCCTATTTGTTGAAATTATGGTTTTTCTACTTTTGCTCAACGATCCCAGCTTCTTCGATTATTCTCATTAGTTCCTTTACTGCAGTTGCATAATGTATTGTCCTCGTGCGACAATATACAAGAATATGATTTGGTGTAAGAGCGAGAGATGCAAATTTGAGACGTTAAAACTAAATTTCCTTCTCACTTTTGTTAGCTATAGCTGCAGTTCTGATTGAAAGTTTTTGGCTTGTTTGGGATTACACTTGAAATTTTTGTTAAAAATTCAAGTGCTTCTTGAAAAAGCATATGAGCATGTGCTTACAAGGCCCGCCTAGATGGCCTAAGCGCTTAGTTAATGCAGTCAAATATGATTTGACGGTTAGAAGGCCTTTAAGAAGCAATCTCAAACAAATTCTTAAAACATTGATGCCAATAACGTTAAAAATTATCTGAATTATATCTTATACAATCGGTTACATGTTAGAATTTGCCGCGGTTATGGCTTCTGCTACGAAAAACAGGCAAAAATATGGCATTGACTACTTTCTTGAACAAACAAAAACCAGACAAAATCACCAGCAGAGATTCCATGTAGTTTCACGCTTTGATGCTTTGCTTCTGTGTGTTTTATATCACAACTTCATTTCACCTTTTGGACCACAAAGAAGACAAAGGGCAGTCCAAAACTGAATCCCACCAAAACTGCCATTCCTGTTTAAATTACAAATTGATAAACCAAATCATTTCATTAATATGCATTTAAAAAATCATTTCATTATTGTTAACCTGAGTAATACAATAAGATAAGTTCGTTAATTGACGTGACATTTACACATTATTTATCATATACAGATAATATACTACGAAACAACAATGCGGTCTTCCTAGCATTTTACTATTAAGTGTCCAAATAAAAAAAGGACGGAAAATATGATGGAAATTCCTAATAACAAATACGATAAATGAAGCAGATAAATGGGTCTTACCATATTTAACAGATGTTGGATAATAACTTTGTTGTGGGAGAGCTTTTGCTGATGAAGATTTTGATGCTGCCAATTGCAAAAGCATGGAGATTATTACCAACCCACTTCCTACTTTTTCCCTAATAACTCTCTCACTTAAATCCAGAGACAAGAACCCAGAAGCACTTTCAGCTGTGACTTTGACGAACAAAAATATTCCAAGCCATAGTGCAGCCTCAGCAACTTGTTTGATTGCTTTGGATGAGACAGCCCAAATCACCAGATTAACAACACAAGCACCAAGGTAGAGGGGAAACCAAAAGTACCAATCTAAAGAAGTAAAAATTGAGAAAAATTAGGCTGGATCTTTACGAAAATTTCCATAAGAATGGAGAGAAAAGATTAGAGCGTTACCAGGGTCATTTAGCTGCACAGATGCAGAATAAGCAAATAGTGATGCCATTAGAAGAGAGCACAAAGTGTATAACTTGGTGATTGCAGCCATTTACTTTTGCTTTATTTCAGATGTTTCAAGGAGGATAAGATGCAACTAGAATTGTATTTAACTATATTAGTCAACGCCTTCGAGGAATTCATATTTCCATATTTTATTATTTATGATAATTAAGTTCATACTCCTTCATTTGAATGTGTTACCAGTGATCAATGCGAAAAAAAAAAAAAAAAAAAAAAAAACTATTCACTATGCGGTTTAACTTTGATGATACCAATTAAGTTTTCTTTATAACGCTCTTATTTTAGCCTATTGCTTCATAGTGCACATGAAGAAAATAAGAGTTCTTAAATCGTTAGCTATTTCTTAAAGAAAAAAAATCACGGTACGATTCATCTATGTGATCATTGATTATTGGTTGCTAAACTAGTTTTGGTAGATATTATTGACACATCAAAATAACTATCTTGCACTCCTCAATATTATGATATTGCCAAGATCAAGCAATTCATCTTCTAAACTTTCAAGTCATGTTGGAGCCCTATAACTAATAACGATCTACCATACACATGGACGGGTGTATTGTGTACAGTTGAATTAACATATTTAAATTTTGATAACTTCAAATTTTGTCGTTCAAACACCAATGCATCCAATTCAAAGGCATAAAAAAACCCTATTCCTTGATCACCAACCCAAAAAACTTAAGATAATTTTTGCTTTGTATGTCAACTTATCGTCGTCAGCTGCATGCATGCAGCTGGACTTTTTCCCTGAGTAGGTATTTAGGTAATAAGACGCTCATCTCACAGAAATATCTTACTTAGCTTGGTGATCAATTTAGTCAATTTACAGCTCGAGAATGATGAAAAACCCACCACATGATTAACCACTGCATGGTGGGCCCGATTAACAGCAAGGCCATCTTCCATGGAATTCTTTTTGGTACCCACCGTTGGTCATGAAAACGTGCTCACTTTCTTCCATTTTTGCATCATTTGTAAACTCTATTATTGCATGCCGGATATATTATACAGAACATATATATATATATATACATATATATGCTCTTTATGCAAAAGGATTTCCGTTTTAAAAGAAAAATGGAATTAGGTGTGGGGCTTACTCCACATCAAACTTAAATTATTCGAATCGTTTATTTTGTAAGTCTCGATTCATAGATCATCCTTATAAAAATTCAATTCAATTCGAAACCATTTGCTTATTTAATTATCAAGATAAAATTGCATTGTTTCTTATATAATAAAATATTCATTAATTTCTTTGAACCCAATTAGATATCTTAAACATTTCTGATTTGGCTAATATTTTGCAAGGATGATCTATGAGGTGCAACTTGAAAAATAGACGGTTCAGATCGTTAAAGTTCGATGTAGTGTGGACTCCACAACTAATCCCAATTTTTATTAAAAAAATGAAAATCCCTTCTCTTCCTTAAAGATTTCCTATATATATATATATATATATATAATTTTTCATGGACTTTCCGTTATCTCATATTTTTAGCACAATTTCCGTGCTGATATTATAAAACATTATATCAAAAGATAAGGTGAAGGAGAGTATATAAAGAGTATCCTTAGCATTTCTGAAAGAAATATTTTCAATTTTGTTTGGATATTTGGGATGCTCCTTGCCAATTCTTTCTTATGTGAAATTGTGTCACTTGATTGTGATTCTCATGATGATCCATATCCCAGTCTTCTTTAAAGTAAATACCAACATCATAAAAGCAAAGAAGAAAAGTAATCTAGCTACTTATTTATGGAACATAAGGAAGAAAAGTAAATTCCCATGGGACACATTGGAATTATGGTCCTTCATTTCCATAAATATAACTAAAAATGGGCCACCAGAAGTTTTGGTCGAGAATAAAGTTGGATTTTTGAATACATCAATATTTTTACACTAGAGAGAGGAGGAGTTCAGCTAAGTCACACAATGGGCAGCCTAGTTTGGTATCAAATTCACTATTCATGAAATTTAAACTTAATACCTCTCATTTTAAAGCAAAGATGAATACTACCAAACAGTAATACTGAGTGGCGAGAATAAAGTTGGATTGTATTTTAGAGAGGCAAATCAATCCACTAAAGAGACATTTTAATGAGTTTGTGACCATTTATTTCATAAACTAGAGAACAACTTACATCAACAAATTCACTTGATTTGTCGGAAAGTTTCAGTTTAATAATACAGTGTCATGTGGAGATAAACTTAACATAATATTGTATTAGTTGATCAAGACGCCAAAATGATAGTGATCTTATTCCAAAAAAGTCCTTCATTTATGCATTGACGCCTCGAGTTAGATTCCCCCCACCATAATATTTGCTTGTAACAAAGAAAAAACCATTAATGAGAGACTAAGATGGTTCTGGAATCTTTGTGATGGGTTATGTGTTGGCAACTTGGCATATGGAATTGAATTTTTTTTTTTTTTTTAACAAACGATATTATTTACACAAGAAGGTGAAAGAGTAGACCAAACTGCACAATAGGCTAGACATAGTAAAGTGATTCAAATTTTCTTTTGACGAGAATTGAACCTAAGATTTTTCTAAGAAAAATTTTAGCTACCAGTATCATGCTTTAGTTTAAGTATCAATGAAAAATGTCAACCAAAACAATTCTATGAATATTACTAAGTCAAAATAATTACATGATTATCGCTTAGTCCTACCAAGTTTTTTTACCAGCTAAAAAAATAGGTAATGTTGGGGCACTCCCACCAGTTGGTAAAGGTAAGAACAATGCAGGGAATTGGCATGTAAGTTGTCCTTACTATTTACTATGAATAGTACTTATCTTGTACAACTCCATCATTTTGAAAAAGGCAAGGGCAAGGGCTAGGGTAAGGGCAAGTTAATATTTTTAATTTTTTTTTATGCTTCAAAAATAATCAATTGTTTAATTTAACAAATTATTTGAAATACAAGGCAAAAGAATAGCGTTGTAAAAGGATAGCATTACAACAAACATAATTAAGAAGATGGTTAGGTATTTATAGAACAACAATATAAAAAAAATTATAATTTTTACTATTTTTTTCTGATTTTTTTATTTTATTTTTTAGTTTTTTTATTGTTGAATTAACGGTGGCCGCTCATTCTCAAACTAATCTGAAATCGGACGAACCATATTTTGCCACGTGTCGCAACGATTATATTTTCAAATTTTTTTTTACCGTTGGATTTTTAGCGGTCCAGATTATCTAGCTATTGGAAATCCATCGGCTTTAAAGGGAACCACATATCCCTACAGATGGAAAAGATATGAGTGCACTGCTGCAGCGAGGCGCACTACTGTACCCTTGTCACCACTCTCCCCGAGTCATACGTGTGTACATGTGCCTGACAAAAAAAATAAAAAAAGTTTTTGGGCTTGAGGCCAACATTGTTGTCTTTGCCTTACCTTCCATCAACTGGTGAGAATGCTCTTAATGACACTCTAAAAATCTCATTGTGCACTTACGAGAAGTGCATAATAAGAACTTTGGAGTACTAATAATAATATCCTAAAAGTTCTTCTAAAGAAGCTTGTAGATCAATTGGTTAAGAGTATATACTCTTGTACTTAAGACCCCGTGTTCAATACAAACTTGAATAAATGGACAACAATTGTTAATAGGAACAACATAAACTCTGTTATGGATAGAGGAGTATATAAATTGAACATAGTAAAATAACAAATTAAAAGATTTCATTGAAATTGTCTGTTTGAAAATTTTCCAAAAAACTAATTGTAAACAGAATACACTATTCTAAGAATAAACTCAAGTTTGCAATCATTAAACTTTTCATTATTTTATGTAACATTTGGTAAAAACGTGCTCCTTTCACCTTCAGTCAATAAGCTCAATTTGGCAAACACAAACCACAAAGATCCACTTCCGTCCCATTGGATCAATGTAACATACACATCAACTGAACAGGAAAGCCATGCTTCTGACAAGAATAAAAGTGCTGGACGTATAAACATCATTTATTAGAAAATATAATCAATTGTAATGAGAATTATTTTATTTCACATAAAAAATTAGAAATTTGGAATATGATCCTATACAATATGAAAATAATTGGAAGCCTTAATTCTGGCGATAGTAAAACAAAATTAAGAAAATAATAGATTCTGGATTCAAGGGTACACAAAACAAAAAAACAAGGAAATAACAGAGTAGAAGTTTTAGTTTATTTTGGACATCTATTTTGAAAAGCCTAGAAAACCTAACAAAGTTCCAACAACGCCAGCACAAAGAACATAATATAGAACACAGGAAAGGTTCCAGCCAACAAAATAAAGAACACAGAAAAAAAGTAATATAAAAATGATGAGAGACAAGTGTAAGACTTGCCTGTTTGGTTACTGAGAAAGTCTTTTCTAGAGATAGAGAGAGAGATAGAACATCTGCATTTTGCAGAGAGATAATCATCATTGTAAGAATAGCTAGGCAGACATAAACTGTTGATGTAGAAAAACACAGCCCATAAGCCATCAATCTCTGTGATTTTTCCACTTTTTCTTCTTTTTCTTTTGTTTTTCTTTCTAATTTTTTTTTTCTTTTTTTTTTTTTGCTTCTTTTTTGGGCTGTGGGCTTTCTTATCTGTTCACTGGTTCCCTTGATGCTTGACACCGAGAGCTCCCTTTCAATCATTTTTAAGGCACTTATGGGATAAAGATTCAGAGGGCTCTCAGATTACCCAGTTCTTGGTGAGTTTTCCTCTCTTTTGGGTTTTAAATTCTCATGAAGTTGGGCAAAAAGCATCCATCTTTATTTTCTTCTGCTGTGTGTTATTTGTTTGTGATTTTTTTGTAGTTTTTTGTGTTGGAGTTGATCTGTGGTTTATGTGCTTTTGAATGCCTTTAGTGTCTTCGAACTTGTTCTTACTTTTCTGCTGTTTAATTCTTACAAAGATTGCATCTTTTCGTTTTTTCAGAGAAATTGCTAGCTGGTCGGTTCAATTTCAGTAAAATGCAATTCTTCCTGCGGAGTAAGTGATTTCTCACCTTTGTACCTTTCATGCTTGTGAGTTTACTTTGTAATTAGACCCTTTTGAGGAGGAAGAGAGTTTTGGTTCCAAAACTTGGTACTGGGGATTTACAGAATTGTTTCAACTGTAATTGCTTGAAATTCTTGTGAAATATGGCTGAAATTAGGCTTACTAGGGTAGAACAAGGCAAAACAAAGATTAGAAATGTCCCGATTGCCGTGACGCCGGAAGGTTTCTGGTGTTGCCCTTCTCCTGTTGTGTTTCAGAAAACCCTTAAAGCTCAAAATTCCATGCACAAACCCAAGCCCTCATCACCACCACCACCCAGGGAAGCAGCTCAGAGAAAACAAACCCCACTGAGTGAAAAAAAGCTAGCCTTTACCCCTTCGAGGTCAGCAAGTATTTCTGATGGTCTACGGGGTGTTGGTCCTGAGGCACCTGATGCACCGGTGGTTAGTGCATCTATAGTTCCGGAGAGAGTGCCTAAGCCCAAAGTTGAAAATTTGCCAAGGAAGGTAGCAATTGAGTTTGGTGAGCCTGGAACTAGTGATATGAAGGTGGTTTTACTTGGAAAGAAGGGATTTTGTGTAAAGTTGAGCGTTCACAAGAATGTTCTAGTGGAGCATAGCAACTTTTTTGCTGATAAACTTTCTGAACAACAATCTGGTTCAACTTGTCTTAACATCGAAGATTGCGATGATGTTGAAATATATGTTGAAACTGTTGGATTGATGTATTGCAAGGACATGAGGCAACGGCTGATGAAACAAAGTGTCTCGTGTGTACTCCGCATTCTGAAGGTAATATGAAGAACTGTGTAATGCATTAGTTATCTCATATCTCTTGAATTGCAGTAATGGTGTTTTTGTTGTTGGTTAAGCTTTAATGTCGAGACCACAAAACACTTAACCTTTCTATGACTGATTATTATGAATATATATTTAGCATTGGTTATACTTTTCATGCTCTTATGAGTATTAGAGTAGTTCAGACATAACTTTTTAGAAGCTATAGCCCTCCTGTTTTGGCATATACTTGTTACAAGTTCTCGTTTTGCTTAGAATTTGAGTAATTACGGAGTATGTATGCAATGAACATGTAATTTGTGTAAGCTATAGTGCACTATAGTGTAGCTTATCATTTAACCGTTATAGAAAACTTTCTCACCGTTTATTAATGCTTCCAATTATTGATTCATTTCATGATTCCCTTTTCCTGTTGTTTTTTTCAGTCACTTTTGGATTTTGGTAGGTCAATTTTCTGTTCTCTTAACACGAATATCCTTCTGATTAACAAATATTTTGAACAAAAAAACTAAGCGGAATGCAAACTGAAATTAACTCATTAGGGTTACAAAACATATTTATTGCATTCCTTTTTTCAGCTATGTGTACATATGCACCTCATTCAAGGCTGCGTATATTTGTTCAATTCTAATAGATATGACCTTCCCTGAGAAGGCTAACGGATAAACACTAATCAGGCTGTTTTTGTCTTTAAATTTAGTATAATTTTACCGATATCTATCTGCATAATTTTCCATATACTAGAATTGTTTTTCCTTGGATTATGTGTGTATATGTCAAATTGGTTGTAACTGCTAGATTTGTAAGTGCTCTTTTAGATATGTTTAGACCGAATAAAGATGCTTCAGCCCTGTATAGTCATGATTAGGTAGACGTGGCCTTTGCAAACTGTCTGGTTATATCGAATCTAAAATGCGGTGGATGAATATTGTGTGATATTTTCTTAGCCTATGATTTTGGCATGTTCCATCTCATTGAAGCTTTCAGCACCCTATAGGCTATATCCCTTTTGAGATGCGGATTGATTGTTTGATCTGAATGGCCCCTCTTCATTGTATGTCATTAGCTAGAAAGTTTGGCTTCATTAAGTTCGTTGATAGGGGTTGAACTCTCCCATGTTTTGGAGTGCGCATATTTCCATATTTCGATTGACTTTAGCCAATGGGGTACGTGGGGAACTTTAAGTTCTTATCGCTCATGCTAATAGGGGTTAATCTTGACCATCAGATTTTATTGTTTCTAAAAATGACTTGAAAAGTGGTTAAATGTACTCTTGTAAGCAGAGAATTATAATCCCATAGATATACTATCACTCAGTAGGTTTTGTATATCTCGTCATTTTACCACTGTTTTCATTTTTCATCTTGGCTCCTAATATACCATCTATGTCTTAAATTAATCTGGCAGACATCACAACCTAACCTGAATCTTAATGGCACCTTCATTCAGATTGCAGAACTGCTTGGCTTCAACTCGTGCATGCAGTCGTGTTTAGAGTACTTGGAAGCAGTCCCATGGGTTGGGGATGAAGAAGAAGAAAAAGTTGTCTCGTCAGTCTTACGACTCCAAAGTGAGGGTATTGGGGTCACTCCTGTACTGAAACGAGTCTCATCTGGCATTTCTAAACCCCAAAAGGACACACTTTCCCATATAATTGGACTTGTTCTCGCAAGCAATGAGGAGAGAGGCAGGCGTGAAATGAAATCCATAGTGCTGAAGCTTCTTAAGGAGAACAACAGTGCCTCAAGCTCTCAAGGTTCTTCTAACGTCTGCAATGAAACACTATATAACTCCTGCAGAAGCTGTTTGAACTTGCTGCTGTCCCTGTTCAAGCAGGCTGCAGAGCCCGAGTCTTCTGATAAAACTTCCAACAACAAAGAACCTGTGGTGAAGCAAATAGATTTGGCAGCTGATAACGTCTCATGGTTGCTTGAGATTTTGGCTGACAAGCAGGCAGCAGACGAATTTGCAGTAATGTGGGCTAGCCAGCAAGAATTAGCAGCCTTGCATACGAAGCTGCCTATTGTGTCTCGTTTCCATGTTAGCCGTATCACAGCAAGGCTGTTTGTTGGCATTGGTAGAGGGGAGCTACTGCCATCTAAGGATACCCGTCAGCTGTTGCTACAAACCTGGCTACAGCCGTTGATCAACGACTACAACTGGCTGCAACATGGGTGCCGGTCGTTTGACCGTAAAATTGTGGAAGAAGGAATTGGTAGGACAATCCTCACTCTGCCGCTAGAGGAGCAGCAAAGTATTATGCTTTCGTGGTTGGGAAGTTTTCTCAAGGCTGGTGATAGCTGTCCGAATCTCCAGAGGGCGTTTGAAGTGTGGTGGCGGAGAACTTTTGTTAGACCATACGTGGAAAGACAATGTAGTTCCGTCCAGTCAGATAGCTCATTGACCTCGTAGTAGACGTAAAGATTACAGAAATACCGTAACCAGTGAGAGTAATATTTGTATGTAAAATTAGTGGTGTGCTCCATAGCATGTGGAAGAACAGAAAAAGTCTTGGAATATTTCTCATTTTCTGAAGGCTAACATGACAGATTTGTGTGTGAAGTCAAAAGAGTGAAGTACCGAGAACTTCGGAGAAATTTCTGGAAGTGAAATGCTTTATGTGATGTAAGAAACTGCTTTTGTATCGATGATGTGATGTGGGTTGATTGTTTCATGTGGAAATTGTTGAAAGGTAAGACTTAGTCTTGGTTTGGCATTGAGATGATTTTAAACAAAGTGGGTATGAAAAAAAGTTGGGAGGGTTTTTGGTGTTTGGTAAACATTCAACTTCATCTATTTTTTCACAGTTTTGGATGAAAAAAAGCTAAAAACACAAAGCTGCAAAACCCAGCTTTGAAAAATCGACTTTTTTTGCTTATCAGCTTGTTAGATCCCACATCGTCCAAGGAAGAGGATCTTCTATGCTTTATATGTACATGTCTACCTCTATATAGCACGAGGCCTTTTAGAAGCTCACTGGTTTCGAAGTTCATCGAAACTTCAAAGTTAAGCGAGTTCTTGCGAGAGCAATCCCAAGATGGGTGATCCACTGGGAAGTTCTCGTGTGAGTTACCAGAAACAAAACCGTGAGGGCGTGGTTGGGGCCCAAAGCGGACAATATTATGCTACAGCGGAGTCGAGCCCGAGTCGGGATGTGATAATTTGGTATCAGAGCCAATCCCTGGCTGGAAGTGTGCCGACGAGGACATCGGGCCCCTAAGGGGGGTGGATTGTTAGATCCCACATCGCTCAGGGGAGAGAATCATCTATGCCTTGTATGTACATGCCTACATCCATATAGCACGATGCCATTTGGAAGCTCACTGGCTTTGGAGTTCTTCCGAAGTTAAGCAAGTTTGCGCGAGAGCAATCCCAAGATGGGTGATCCATTGGTAAGTTCTCGTATGAGTTCCCAGAAACAAAATCGTGAGGGCGTGTTCACGACCCAAAGCGAACAATATCGTGTTACGGCGGAGTCGAGCCCGGGATGTGGTGGAGCCCGGGTCGGGATGTGACAATTTGTCACACCCCGATCCCAACATACGTCCAGGATCGGGGCGTGACAACTTTTGTGGTATTAGAGCTTAGGTATTAGGTCCTCGTACCTTTACCAAGTGTAGGAACAATTTTTGGGTAACGTAATGTGTAACTTTGACGGGACGCTACATAAGCATTTGACCTTGTTGGCTTGAAGCCTTGTGTTATTATGTGACATTGCTCTTAGTTGGTATCGTTGTGTTAAGCTCATGTATTGTGCTAATTTATTCCAAAGCAGAGTTCTTGTTTATGAGTGTTGATAGTGCGTTGATTAAGTGGTTTAGTTAATTTTTATTTAATCTTAGAAAATGTGGTGTGAAATTTACATGCAATCATTATTACTTCAAATAGTAGTTAGAATGCCTTTCATATAAATCATGGATATGGATGATTGTGAAATGGCTATGTTCGTATGATTGAATGGGAGAAGGAAAATTTTAAAATATCATATTTCATGGTATAACTTCCAAGATGAGTGTTTGAGTAAAGTCTCGAATTAATCTTGAATTGGGTTGATATTGTGTTATGCGTTATGAAAATTTCGAACGTTAAGATGATTGTGAAATTGTGACAAGTAGATGGAAAAGTCGTATTGTACCTGTATCATTGAGAAATATTGATTCGAATGTGAGCAATGGATGAGTGGGCACAAAGACCCAATGTTTCCGGGGAGAAGCTCCATGTGTGAGCTACGAGAATGAATTATTGAAGTGATAAATATGTGTGATGTGTATTGGCCATGTATATTACAATTTTTTCAGTCTACTAGTTACTTATGGGGATAAAAGAAAAAGATGATGAAATCATTGTTTTGCCAATGATGATTATGGCTAGAAATTTTAAAATCTTATGGCCATGATAATTATGGTTGGAAATTAATATTTATGAAAGTCATGATGATGTTATGAACAAGAATGAAATCACAACCTCAGGCTATGATTTGTTTAATATATAGTGGTGAGTAATTGTGATTTGAAATTCCAATAATTTTGGCTAGAAATTTTGATATTTGATTTGCCAATTTTGATGGTTTGATTTGAAATTTTGATATTTATTTAGCCAATAAGAATTGCAGCTTGATGTTTGCTAATTATTTTGTCAATGTATATGGCTAGAATTTCTGATATTTATATATGAGTATATGGGTGAGAATCATGATGATTTATTTATTTTGAGCTTGAATAAGCTTATAGGCTAAGGTTATAACTTTATTCACTATAAATGGAATGATGGGGAAAGTTTGTAATTACAAATTTGGTTGGTTTGGTTGCCAGAATCATGAGTATATTGATGAATTCTTATTAACAGTGGCATTCTTTGTGATTGTGCAAAGATTGGTGTTGAAGTCGTGTTGGGACGACGATGATTGTATTTGTGAGTTGAGGTACAACGTGGTTGAACTTGAGTTAGCTAAATCTGATTATAGCCGAAATGTGAATGTGTTTGTGCTTCACTATTTTCTTGAATTGTTGCATTTGTGGATAGTGATTTGATACTGGAAATTTCGAGGACGAAATTTTCTTTAAGGGGGGAAGAATGTGAAATCCCGTTTCAGGGTTTCACTGTTATAATCTACGTATTTGTATTATTGTGACTTTTATTTTTCGAGAATTTATATTAATTTATTTGAATTTAGGTTTTAATTAAACTAGTTATGAGGGTAGAAGTTTCAAAATTAATTATTTAAATTTCGTAGACCTTTTAAGGGCATAATTTATATTTTCGAATAGAGCTCGATCTCACGAACGCGTAGGCGAAAACCTTACGTAAAATGGAGTTATAACAAAGAAATTAGAGACGTTTTAGTTGTTGGGAAATAAATGTTTGAAGCTGCCAAGTGGCAGCAAAGGAGAGGGGAGAAAGAGAGTGCAGGAGAGAAAAGGGAGGAGCAGCCTAATCAGAAAGGAGAGCAAGGAGGGGAAATAAGAGAGACTCGAGTTGGGTCATTTTTAACCCGTGAATGATCATTTTTGACTCGGCCATATCTCGTTCATCCGACTTCCATTTTTGGTGATATTGTTGTCCTTGGAAAACTCTTCATGAGTCCTACATCCCTGCAGTGTTAGATTTCCGTTTTTCTTTTCCATTTTTCTGGGTTGAAGCCATAAAGTGCCGAGGGTTTTCTGGTGAGTTTTCTCATGTTACGGTGATTCCGACAACGATTACCATCAATCACCACCACCAATAGACTTCCTTAATCCCCTGGAGCAAAGCCTAAGCATTGGATAAGGCATCGGAGTTCGTTTTGACGATGAATCGAGGAACACCCATTTCTAGGTTTTCTAGTGGGTTCGAGGGCAATTGAATCTTTTCCTGGCCAAATTGGACTTGGCTATAGGTATGAAACTTGCTCCACTCTACTAAGATCTATATGCCTATAAAATTTGGTAAATTTTGAAATGGTTCAATTTTCGGCCAAGTCGGGGTGGCCGATCGCCACCCACGGCAACGCGTGGCCAGTGGGCCGACGATGCCTTTCTATGTCCAATTAGATGCCCTGAATTCATAATTGATATCCGTATGAAGTAATTTGATTGTTTGAACTTAGTTTCATTATGATACATCACTTGATCAAAATTTGAATGGATGATCCGACCGTTGGATCATCACTAAACTTTAATGCGTTATAGAACGTAATATTTGAGAATAGCTGGAACTGATGGATCAGGAATCCGACATACGAATCTTCCTAAATTGGATTTCTAAGTTAGTAAAATTAATTGTTAACCGCCACCTAATTCTAGCAATTGATGGAGATCCGATCGTCAGATTACGATGAGATTTTAGTATGTTGTTCTTTGAGCATAATGTGGACCTTAGGAAGTTGCGGATCTAGATTATGATGTGCGGTTCTTCCAGATTAAATTGCTAGGGTGTGGAACCCACCGTTGATTTTTGTCAACAGGTCTTGAACTATTTGCATTACTAAAATTAGTATTACTAAAGACTCAGTGAAGCTTTGCGAACATGTCTCAGTGAGTGACTTTAATATATTTGATATGGTGATTATCCTGATTCTTTATATTAATATCCTTTGTGGATATGACATGGTTTTATAAATGAGTTTTCTGTTAAAATGTGATTATTTTATAATTGGCCATCAATCTATTTTTATTAAATGTGATTTGGTTCACGGATTGGTAACATTTGTGAAAAAGTGATTCGAATTGCATGTTGAAATGTTTTGTAAATATAGGGCTAGTAGGAGACTATGACCCTACTTGGTTAATCCGCATTGAAGGACCATACTATACATGGATTGCACTTGGTTAATCCACGTTGGGCAATCCTTATGGCCATGTATGCCTAGAGTGATCATTCTTGGTTAATCCGCATTGGGTGATCACTTCCTAACAGCTGTGGGGGGTTACTGCCTACTTGGTTACTTTCTTAGGGGTGGCTCTACTTGGTTAATCCGCTTTGGGGGGCCACTTCCTATTTGGTTACTTATGTAGGCTTCGACTGAACTGCATCCTTCTAGCCCTAGTTTTTAATGTACATACAAACGATGATTTTTGAGAATCTTGGTGGTTTGAATGGGAAAAGTCGTTGGATGTTTGGGTGAATCCTTCGGAGTTGTTAGAGACTTGACTATGTTTTCATATTTATGAACTTATATTTGAGGTTTATAAACGGTGATCGATGGTCTTTCTTTTATTGAATATCACATACTTTTATAATTGTCACTCACCTCGTGTTTCGCAGTTTATCCGAGTTCTGGTTGGCTAGTGCACCATTCCCCTGATGTAGGCACTAATTATACATGTGATAAAAATGGGTAGATTACGAGAAACCATTTGGTATCTTGGTTCCGTTGATTGGTCCGAAACCCGATGTTGTTGGATTTTGTTGAGTGGTCTAAAATCCTTGCTTCTACAAATTCCCATAAGATTAGTCTAGAACCCTAGATTTGAGTGAATGGGAATTACCGACAATAGATCTTGTGAATACAAATTAGAATTATCATGTTTACTACTGATAATCCAAGTAGGGAATTATATAGAGTTCCTTGGTTAAATTCGTGAATTGATATGTTTTCGCATTGTTTGATTAACATAATTAAATGCTAAGATCATGCATCTTTGATTCATGAATTGATTAATTGATGGGATTGTGGAATGACGCTAGATATGAGGG